GCCTCAGGGTAGTGACCCTGGTCCTAGGCCCTAAATAGAGGCTCTGCCGTGTTTTACCCCCACTGCCCTCCCTCTTTCCATTTCTCCCCTTCTCCTTCCAGAGACCTGCCTGGGACTCACTCCATCCATGTGGCTGACCTCGGGGAGGAGGCAGGGTTCTAGTTTAGGGAACTAACACAGACCAGAGAAGCTGCTCAGGTTTGGGGAATGTTGAGGAATACTCAGCCTCCGACTCCTGTCTTTACCAAGGGCTTGGCTGATGAAGTGGAGCTCTCCAACCCCCTTTGAGGGGTCTGGACCCGGAGATATGGGTAGAATGTATTTAGGGCATCACGGACCCCTGTTGGGTACAGAAATTTAATGTGAACATTTATTGTTTGGCGCCACCTTATGGTCCTCTCAATTTCCTACACTCATCTCCCAGGATCCCTGGGGCTGAGAGAGAATGCTGAGCCACACAGGTGACCTTTAGAGGGAAAGGGACTCGGGACCTGCTCTTGGGGAACATAGCAACCAACCATGAGCCACCCGGTGCTGCATCTGAAGGGACTCTCACTTCCTAACCCTGTGTCTAGAATAGCTCCCATCTTCTCTAATTCCATCTTCCCAACTGAACTGGAGGAAACACCAGCACTCTTGAAAGACTTGACTTCCATTAGAAGACTTTGGTTTGGAGGAACACCAATGAGTCAGTGTCAGTGAAGCCAGCCTGGGTCCTCCAGGAAGTCCTGCTGTGGTACATGATCCCTCTCTGGGAGCCAGGAGAGGGTGAAGTTGTAGATTAAGATGCCCTTCCCTCTTCTCTTCCATCTTCTGCCAGCCATACATCAATCTTGAGGGCTATGTGTACAAAGGAGATTAAACAAAAACATAAAGATGGGCTGGGAAGGTGGCTCAGTGGTAGAGCACTTGCCTTGCATGCATGAGGCCTGGGTTCAATTCCCCAGCACCACATAAGCAAAAAGAAAAAAAAGCCAGAAGTGGTGCTGTGGCTTAAGTGGTAGAGCGCTAGCCTTGAGCTGAAGAGCTGAGGGACAGCACCCAGGCCCAGAATTCAGGCCCCACGACCAGAGCCCCCCCCCAAAAAAAAACAAAAACATAAAGATAACTCAGGAAAACCTTAAATGAAAATCAAAGTTCTTTCCATAAATCTCTGGTGCAGGACAGGGAGCACTGGTCAGCAGCCAGGGGCTTCTTCTGGTCTGGGGGAGCCTCTGATCTGGGGGATGGGACCCGCTGGGCTTTTTGTTCTTCTGTTTGAATTAAGGACCTAATTGTTTCTCATCTCTCTATTGAAGGTTGTTAGGGGACTCGGGGTCACCACTGAGGAGGAGGATCAGCAGTTTGGAGTGTGCCTGGACTATAGGCCACAGCCTCCAGACAGCTGCTGAACCCCAAAATCAATCTCTATCCAAACTTTCTTCAGATACAGCTCTGATAAGCTGCTCTCCCAAAATTCATCCGACTTGGCACTGTCTTCAGTCACATTTTAAGTCCTTCCCCTCTCCTGCACCTCCATCCAGTCCTAGAACATGGACTGTTCGCACTGCTCAGTTTAAATGCCCGAGCAAAGTTCCTTGTGTCTCTTCCACCCTCCCACTGCCGCCAGCACTTGATGCTTACGACCTTTTGCACAAAGGCTTTGCACAACTGATTTTGTTTGTTCCCTTGTTTGTTTTTGTGCTGGGTTTGCGGCATGAATCCAGGGCCTGGACACTGTCCCTTGGCTTTTTCTGTCAAATATGGTGCTCCACCATTTGTGATATACTTCCACTTTGGACTTTTTGATCATTAATCAAAGATAAGAGTCTCTCGGACTTTTTTTCCACTGTCTGGGAAATGACCCTCAGATCTCAGCCTCCTGAGTAGCTGGGATTCTAGGCATGAGCCACCAGCGCCCAGCTACATAACTGTGTATTGTTATGTGTTTAATGTCTATTTCTTCCATCCAATTACATTCCAGAAGTTCATGGAAATTAGTAGAACCTTGGCTGCCGGAGTCATGGCCCTGGGGAAGGCAAGCCTGTAGCTCCTCCTCCATCTCCCTCCTCAGCAGAGGCCAGGGTAGAGGTGAACACCACTAGTGGGCAGCTGGCAGAATTTTTTTCTCCTTGAAAGGAACCAGCCTCTCTAGAAGCCTACCTGCTCTGCTCATGCCTGCACAGAGCCTCTCTCACCCTCTAAGCAAGGCCAAAGCTGGAAAGAAAGACTTCTCTGAAGAAAAAGACTTCTTTGGCCTTCTCTTGTTGCCATGGAGACTGCTCTTCATTAACCTGGTCTGTCCGTTATCATTGTGAGTGGTAGAGGGTAGGAAGCCAAAAGCACAGCTATGTACCTGCGCATGAATTCCACACTTAACAAGTGTGCCTGACCTAAGGGGAGGAATGCAGATTTGGAATCAGACATCCAAGATTTAAGTTCCATCTCTAAAATTCCTTGCAGTCTTGGACAGGGTATTTCACATCTCCAGCTGCATCACATCCGTCATGGGCATAAAAATAGAATCTACCTCTCAGAGCCATGCCTTGAGTATCACAGAAGAAGAAAATAAACATACTTGGTAGAGTGTCTGACATGTGTTAAGGGCTCAAAAATACAAGTTGTTTTTATTTTAAGGTCCACTCCTGGATGGCCAGCAGACTCCACCCTCCTCGCAGCAAAGTCTCCACCCAGTACCTGCGTTACCTAGGCAACTGGCACACCTGGAAGAGGTCACATCTGCATCCACTGAGGTCACATCTGAATTTGATGTGGCCACACCTTTCTCTGCCCATACCCTAGATAAGGCCTAGCACAGGCCCAGAGGCCCTCTCTCGCTGCTCTTTTCTAGCTCTCTCTGCTCTCTCTCTGCTGTCTCTGCTCTCTCACTGCTCTTTTCTAGCTCTTTCCTCTCTCTTTTCTCTCTTTCCCAGCTCTCTCTCATTCCCAGGCCTTTCCCAGCCATGTGGAGTGCCAACCTTGCCTGGTCCCAGCAGGTCTACTGAATAAACCTACCCCTTACCTGAATACCACGTGAGTGCTGCTGTTCTTACTCGGCTACCTCTCTCTCTGCTCTTCTCTAGCTCTTCTCAAGCTCTTTTCTCTCTTTTTCCTCTCTCTCTTTCCCAGCTCTCTCTCTCTTTCCTAGGCCTTTCCCAGCCGCATGGAGTGCCAACCTTGCCTGGTCCCAGCAGGTCTACTGAATAAACCTACCCCTTACCTGAATACCACGTGCATGCTGCTGTTCTTACTCGGCTACCTCTTTTTAAAAACCTAACAATTATTACTATCATCATTATTATTATTAATGCCTGAAACATGTCAGGCATAGGGACAGGCTTTGAAGAGAAAACTGGCAAAGCACTTCACTTGTAGAGATTTCATTTCTAAGAGTCTCACTTTGAGCCTTTCCCACACTTTGAACTTGGTTTTCATGGAAACCGCTCTCTTTTCCTTCTTCTGTTTGACTGCATTCAATTCCCTGATTACAGTCACAAATTCAACTGGTGTAAACAGGTTTGGATCAAGCATTTGTGCTTGGTCCCCCTGGAGGGAACCAAGAGAACAAACTAACTGAAGCATTGCATTCAGACCCTAGCCCTGAATCACCAGGGTAAAATAAAGCCAGAAGCTGTAACCCTCTGGTTGTGAAATAAAACAGAAAAGAAGCTATAACCCTCTGGTTGTGAAATTAAATAGGAAAGAAAATCTCAGAGTACATCACACAGGGAAGAATTGTTTCATAAAGAATAATTGAATATGTGTGTGCTAGGTTTCTCACAGAATATTGGTGACGTTGAATATGCTGTGCTCTGTGCGGAGACTATAAACACATGAAAAAACACACAAGTCCCCCACCCCCACACACAGGAATAAATACACAAATACACACAAAAACACAAACACAGGAGTCCCTATAGCTACAGGCATCAGGTGGAGGCATGAGAAGCTGAGGAGGGGCTGGAAGTATAGGATGGTGGTTAGGTTCCTGGATCCTGATACTAGGATTGCTGACCTTGCCACTGAGTGAAATTTGGAGGCCACCTAACCTCCTAGCTCTCAGCTTCCTCATGAAGTTGCAGGCTGCTGTTAGGGTTGAATACATTCATAGAATGCCAGAAGCCTGAAAGAGCTACATGGTAGTTATTATCATTGTGGGCAGGGAATCACTGAGGCCTAAAGATGGGTCGGTGAGACCACCAAACATGAAAAGGAGGAGGCGCCAGAGCCCTCATGCCTAGAATGGTGGGGGGGGGGGGGGGGAGGGGACTGCTGGGAGGTCCCTTAAAGGAATGAAATTAATTGGGAGTACTTTTGTTTGTTTCGGTTTGCTTAGCTGCTGAGGACAGGCATGAATCGGTGGGCAAACCAAAGGGCTGGGGCGCTGGCCTGGGCAAGAATTGGGCCTTTCCTTTGTTCCCAGAGTTGAAGACAGAGTGGGACACAGGGAGACAGTGCCTTGTTTCAGGCAGTGGGGGAGGGGAGAAGGGTCACAAAGGGAATCTGAAACAAAGCCTCAAGGCGACAAGAAGCTTCTGTATCCCCCAGTCCATGGCCCTTTCTGACCGAACCACTGGGAGAAAGAAAGAGCAGGCCTCTCCGCGGGATGGGAGGAGTCCCTGGGAGACCCAAGGGGGAGCCATCGAGGGTCTGGAGGGCCAGACGGTATTTGCTGGGCCTCCTCGGAGCCTGGGACCCCGCTTTGTCGCCCTCGGGTAGATCAGCCTGCTACCGGACCGGGCGTGGCAGCGCGGGGCGGAGCATCCGGGAGGCGGCAGGGGGCGGGGCGGGCGGGTGGCCGGCCGCGGACGTCGCTGGACACTGGGCCGGACCCTCCGTGGCCAGCCGCGCGGGCGGGGGAGGCAAGGGATGAATGAGAAGAGCAGGGCCAATCACAGAGCTGGATTTACAGCCGCGAGGGAGAGGAGCCAATCGGGTGCCCGGTGCGGCGGCGGCGGCAGGGGCGGTGGCAGGGACAGAGCCAATCAGATGTGAGCCCCCCCGGCCGGGGCGGACCCGCGCCGAGTTTCAAATCGGTCGGGGTCGGCGAGGTGAAGCTGTGCGGAGCGCGGGGTTCCGCGTCGGAGCGGGGTGAGCGCGGGCAGGGGCCGTAGGGAGGGGGAGCGGGGTGGGGGGCCTCCGCTGGGACCGAGTCAGCGCTCCAGGGAGCCCGAGGGTCGGGGTAGGGTGGCGGGGGGCGCATTGGACCGGGGCGAATTTATGAAAGAGCCGCTGATCCTATCCGAGGCCGAATGCAGAGACCTGGTGAGACCCACGCCCTCCACCTTTGAGGTTCCAGAAAGGAGGCTGGGATGAAAAGACAGCTATTTTAGAAACCGTAACACTTGAGACACCACGAATGCTACCCGCGATCCTGGCGCCTGCATTGTTCAGGTGCCCCACCCCTGGGCTTCTATCTCATCACTGGCCCTGAGCCCACGGTCTCGATGGGGCCTGGGAATGCTTTGAGGAATGCTTTGATGACTCGCCTTTCGCCCTCCCCAGAGTTTGGCAGGCAGAGGAGAGTGGGCCAGGCCGATGGCATCTCAATGTCAGAGCATGAAGACCACCCGCCGGCCATCCCTCCTGAAGGAGGAGCAGGACGCGGAGGTGATGCCCGCAGCCCCAGGCCATCAGGAGATGAGCACGGGCCCCCTGGGCTCCCTGTGCAGACAGTTCCAGAGGAGGCTACCCCTGAGAACAGTCAGCCTCAACCTGGGGGTAGGCCCATCCTGGAAACGCCTGGAAACCCCAGAGCCAGCGCAGCAAGGTCTCCAGGCTGCAGCTCGCTCAGCTAAGAACGCCTTGGGTGCCATGTCCCAGGTAAGAGTTCATGTCAATTTAAGGAAGTTGTCCTTGGTGCTTAGAGTTTGTACCCTTGGCGAGCCCGCATGAAGACTGAGACTCTGATTAGTTTGTTGCTGTTTCCTCAGCACCCCAACATTATAAAAGACACCCAACAGCTGCATGAGTGAATAAAACAGTGTCATGTAGAGACCTGATGGTCATAATTCAAGGCTCTGTATTGATTGGACCACAAGCTAATGTCTATCAGGGGACTCCAAACCCAAGTCTAGACAAGGATGGCTTCCCAAGAAGCCAGAATTTCTCTCCAGATTCACTGAGGAAAGAAGTGTATGGAGTGTGGGGCTGGGAAGGTGGCTCAGTGGTAGTGTGCTTGCCTTGCATGCATGAGGCCCTGGGTTCAATTCCTCAGCACCACATAAGCAGAAAAAGCTGGAAGTGGTGCTGTGACTCAAGTGGTAGAGCACTCGCCTTGAGTTGAAGAGGTGAGGGACAGCACCAAGGCCCAGAGTTCAAGCCCCACAACTGACAAAAAAAAAAAAGTGTATGGAGTGCAGGAGGTAGTGAAGGAATGTAAGTTCAGACTTAGAACAAAAGGAAATAAAATGCTGGAGGGAATGGACAGGACATTAGTCCAGATCTAGCTAGAGAGCAGAGAAATGTGGAGCAGGGGAAAAGATCCATTGAGCTAAAAAGAGCCAGGTGGCTCATGCCTATAATCCTAGCTACTCAGGAGGATGGGATCTGTGGATCACAGTTCAAAGCTAGCCCAAGCAGGAAAGTCTGTGAGATTCTTATCTCCAATTAACCACCAGAAAACTAGAAGTGGCCCTGTGGCTCAAAGTGGTAGAGCACTAAGCCTTGAGCAAAAAAGCTCAGGGACAATGCCCAAGCCCTGAGTTTAAGCTACAGGACCTGCCAAAAAAAAAGTCAGAAGTAGAGCTCTGGCTCAAGTGGTCAAGTGCTAGCCTTGAGCACCAACGCAAAAGGACAGTGCCCAGACCTTGAGTTGAAAAGACCAGGAGCTGCTCAAGAAGGGAGCATTAGGGATTTTGTATGAAGTTTGGAAGTTATCATATTGGGTGTCCCTTGGGCTCAGAGAGAGGAAATGAAGCATCTTGCCCAAGTTCATGTAACTCATCAAATTGATCTTGGGTCTTACTGCAACCTCTGGACTCTGACCAAGGCAAAGGTGACCTAGCACAGTCTTTCATCACAGCTCACATGAAAGGTCCAGGAATCAGAATTTGGCCCTATGGACAACAAGGAGCCATCTAAGGGTTTAGAGCAGCTGAGTGTCATGATCAGAGCTGACGCAGAAAGATGGATCCCTGTGAAGCAATCTAAAGGAGGGATGAGAAGGGGACAGCCCAGAAAACAAAGTCTAGTGTACACATGGCTAGCCCGGTCTTCTCTGACTCCATCTGCCTAGGAAGAGAGAGTGGACTTAGACAAAAAAAAAAAAAAGAGTGCAATCCCCATGGTCTCCCGACTCCTGACTCTGAGGCCCTATCTGGGGAGTGCTGAGCCAAGTCCCTGCTGTGTATAGCTCAGGAGCCATTCATACCCCTCACCTTGAGGCTGAGATCAGGCAGTATTTGTGTATCAGGCTGAGGAGTGCTGGGCTGGCAGGACAGCCTGGAGCCTGGGGTGACTACCATGGTTCTGTCTGCTCTAACGTTTCCATGTACCTGTCCCAGAGGATCCAGCAGTCCTGCCAAAGTGGAACCAAGTGGCTGATGGAGACACAGGTGACGGCAAGGAGGAGGAAGAGAGTAGCACAGAAAGGCAGAGCCTCCCCACCTCCTAGCCTGAGCCAAAGGGGCACCAGGCTATGTGGAGCCACCTGGGGCTCTCAGGAGAGGGAGCACTCCAGTCACTCAGCCCAGGTGCCTCGATCCCACCAGCGAAGGCGGTTGAGGAGGGAGGCCGCCCTCCGGAGCCCCTACTCCTCAGCAGAGCCCCTCTGTTCTCCCAAGTAAGTAGTCCCTCTACCCAGGTTCCCTCAGAACCTGCAGCCACAGAGCCCTCTGCCATAATGTCTTCCACTCAGCTCTGCCAGCAGAGCCACCGGGGAACTGAACAAATCCCCACCCAGGACCTCCCGTTATCCTACCCATCCAAAGGAAGAATGGGGCTTTGCTCTGATTTGAACCATCCTGGGAACATGGAGGGTCTGGTCCCAAGTGGGGAAGGGCAGGGCGCTCTTGCCTGTAACTGTTGCTTACTTGTGGGCTCAGCCAGGTGAGTGAGCCTCATATCATTTCTCCCAATAATGAGCTGTGGCGTGACTTCCCTGAGCTGCGTGTGTGATCTAAGTGTGAAACCCAGGCCCCGGGGCCGGGTGGAAGAATCTGCTTCAGATCTGCACCTAGGTCTTAGTATGGCTTCTTCTTGTATGCAGTGAGTCAGACAGTGACCTGGAACCCGTGGGTGCAGGAATCCAACATCTCCAGAAGCTGTCCCGAAAACTGGATGAGGCTATTATGGCTGCAGAGAGGTGAGTTGGCTTCCCCAAGGTTCCAGAGCAAAGTGGCCACGAGGCACCATTGGGCCACACCATCTTTGTAGAGAAGCTGTTGGTTCTGGCTCTGACCTGCCCCCTGCATAGACTTCCGTGTCCTTGTCACACATATAAGAAGGGATGAAAAACCTCGGCTCAGGTAACAGTGAGGGGTGCAGTGTGCAGCCTGGAAGCACACACTACTCCTCTGGGACTTCACATGTGGCTGGGTCCCTGGTCCCTGAAGGACCTGTCCTTCCTCCCAGTACCCTCTACTGCTCCCCCAGGCCCAGCCTGCCCATGTGATTAGAAGTGATATGTGAGAAAACATATAGAGTGTCTAGATTGTCTACTCAGAATCCCATGTTAGGGGCAGTTTTGGTCTAGACCTGCCCTAACTCAGCCACATTGTTTCCCATTTATGTAATAGTTACAGTGAGCTCTTACACAGGGCTGGAACAGCTCTGATTATAAGTCCAGTGCTATGTTCCCAGCATGCCTCCAAGTTCTGGTCTTGTCTGGTCTGAAATGGGGTGTGGGGAGAGGGGGGAAAGGAGGATCCAGTACTCAGGGTCATCTATCTTTCCCTGTTTCCTCGTCCCTAGTAGTGACATGGCCTGCCCCCTCATCTGTGACTGAGGACAGCACCCTGCAGGTAATGCCCCCTCCCCCTTGGAGCTTCTTTCTCAGCACCTCCCCCACCCTGCTTAAGCATGATAAAGAAATGTGGAAGCCAGACACTTCCACGGGCTCACACCTGAAATCTTTGCTTCTCAGGAGGCTGAGATCTGAGAGTCATGGTTCAGCCAGCACAGGCAGAAAAGTCTGTGAGGGTCTCATCTCCAATGAACCAAAAAGCCAGAAGTGGAGATGTGGCCCAAGTGGTAGAGTGCCAGCCTTGAGCAAAATTAAAAAACAAAAACAAAGCTAAGGGACAGCTCCCAGGCCCTAAATTCAAACTCCAGTTCTGAATAAAGAAATGTGGAGAAAGCCACAGGGAAGATAGCACTGTTGCATGAATAGCACATGTTCCTACTGTTGCTAACCTCAGCTGCTAGCTTCACCAGCCCCTCTATCACTGAGCCCAGCCCCCCATTTTGCGGGGAGTGGGGGTTGAGATGTGATGGGGTCCCCCATCCTCTGCCTGGAGCACTGGATGGGGAGGGGCACAGAGGAGCTCTGTCTTGCAGGAATTGAGCCCTGCCTGGCTACCACCCATCCTCACACCCATGATGCCTGCCACCCACCCCCGAGAGCTTCCCGAGGAAACACCACATTCTCACCCCTGGGTCACTGCTAACAAGACTCTGACTAACCCAGCACACTGGCCTTCAGCCACACCTGGGCCCAGTAATGACTCTGCCACATCCTGCAGTGACTTGGGGAGAAGCAGGGAATTGCTCCTGTTCCCCCAGAAGACTGGAGCCTAAAACTCATCCCACACCAGAGCCCAGTGGTTGCCTCTGAGCCTTGAGTCCAGTAGCAAAGGCTTGAGGGAGTCACCATGAACTCATAGCCTATATTTCCAGGGTAGGGGTTCCTGTTCCCTGCTCTGAAGGAAGGGAGAGGAGATATTCCAGACTTTCCCAACATGGTGCCTATTCATCAGCACAGAGGCATTGTGGGTAGGAAGTGTCTACCCTTGGTAAATTATTTAAGGATGTCTGTTTCCTTGATCATACTGCTTTTTCATAATAAATACTCGTTTTCCACATTGGACTTTTTTTTTCCTCCCTCCCATGCCTCTCATTTTGGATCTGCTCTGGGCCATAAGATTGGAGTCCAGCTTTTCCCTCCTCCCTGCTGCTGCTCCCAACCTGCATCCCTCCCTCACCCCCCTCATCCCCTACCTGACTCTGAGAATGAAGTAAAAGGAACGCTTTCTCAACATAGTCCAGAGCAAAGCATGTTTTAAAGGCAAATAAGGTTTTTATTTAAGTGACATTTGAGAGCTAAAAACCAGCTCACATCAAAACCAAAACTTGATTGTAAAAATCCTTTTAACTCTATAATGCTGTTTTTGTCTTGTTAGAAATCTGATATATACTTTTTTTTTACATTTCTTTTTTCTAACGGATTGTGTGCAAGGCAGCCATAAGGAATATAATAAATCTTTGTCACCACAGAAACCACCCGTGACAGACAACACTGGAAGTTACAGGGACAGTCAGACCGCAGACAAGGTCAGATGGCTGCCACCACCGAGTAAACAGGAAAGGACAACAGGTCCAAGGACAGGGGTCCCATGCGCAAGCTGCCCTCCTCTGGCCTGACCCTTCTTGGTGTCACCTGTCTGTCTTGGCCCAAAAAGGGTAGAGTCAAACCAGTTTCCCTCCTCACTGCTCTGATTGGTTTTTCAGCCAGGAGAGCAGAGCCCAGCCCAGCTTCACTGCTTGGACTTAATTTGTATATTTAAGAAAAATTTTCTCCAATCCCTGAAGGAGGGATTTATTTTTATTTATTTATTTTTGGCTGAGCCAAAGACAGTAAGTTTCCAAAGCACTTGGCACCCAATCCCCCCAGATCAGGCTGGAAAGTTGGTAGTTTAAGGCGGGATCAATGCAAGGCTCCTTGCTACTCAGGGGCCCCTCCTGGGTGGGGCGGGGCCTGCACCTGAGCAGGTGGGCAAAACTGGCGCCACCTCCCAGACCCAGGTCCACCTGCCTGGATGAGAGCCAGCTTCACTTAAAGATGGGCGCCATGTTTGGTCTGCAGGACGCTTCGGGGGCACAGCAGTGGGCTCCGAAGTGTTCAAAGTACAGTTTAAAAACCATAAAGGTCCAGCCTCCCTAGATATCAAAGGAACGAATGCTGGGTTCACACAGTTGTACCCCAGCAGCCAAACAGGGAGGTTGTATATCCAAATGCACACACATACACACACACACACACAAATCTATTTTCTTTTAATATTTTGTAGTGCTTAAGGAATCAAGGTCTTTATGAGGGATGAGGGGACCATAATGTTAGAAGAGCAGGTCCCCTGGCAAAGACTACCCTGGACCCCAATAGGGCAGGTGGTAGAGGAGGCCAGTGGCACCCTCCCAGGTCAGCCACCACATGGGGGAAAACAAACATGCCACGGGGTAAATGGGACGCTGTGGTCAGGCAGGAAGATCTGTTTTCCAGCTGCTGGGTAGCAGGCACAGCAGGAGCTAGGATTCTCTAGAAAAACAGCTGAATTGGGCTTCACAGAACTACTTGGAGAAGAGGCAGCAGTACCCTCTCTGAGAACAGGACTCATTCTCTGCTTCCAACTGAACTGGACAGACAAGAAAACAAACCACTAATACAGAAAGTGCATGTGGAATACAGACTTGTCAGGAAGGCAGCATTGAAACAAGAGTTGTCTAGTCACGAAACAGAGCCACAAGCACACATGTTCACACACACTAACTACAGCTCCAAAGGTGGCGTGTTCACAATGTCTCCCTGTACATCAGCAGCATCTCACCAGGGAGTCCTCGAATCCCATTCCAGGGCTTTAGCCATGGAAGTGGTGGGACCCTCCTGCTGGGTCCTGTGGCTCAGCTCTGAGCCCCCAGGGCCAGGGAGACCTGGCTATGGTCTCTTAACTCTCTGGGGATCCTGACTTACAAGAATGTGCATTCTTGCTTCCCCCAAGTGCCCCAGCATGGGGTTCTCAGAAAGGGAAAAGGAAATCTAACTGGGGGGCAGAGGGGTGAGGAAAAATGCCTTATATGATCGTTTTGTTATTTGAAAGTAATTCTTCAGTGGCTTCTGCTGAGAAATGAGGGATTGTTAAAATCAGACCAAGTCTGAGCCCCAAGCTCAAATCATCATCTTTTGGGGAAACAGTAGACAGGGTTAGGGTTGAGGTGGCTATGCTAATAGAGCGAATAACAATGACATATCAAAAGGGCTTGGACAAGTGCAACCTCACTGTCTACCAGCACTGCAGACAGGTGGATACAGGAAGAGGTGCTGAAGTGGAGCAGAAGGGCGAGCAGCCAGGCTGGGCAAAGGTGGCTAGAGAAGACATTTCTAGTGAAGGAAGCAGGGTGGGAGCTGGGAACCCAGACCCCTCTGGCCCCAGCAGGGCACCCGGTTTGCCAGAAGATTCACAACACAGTGCCAGCAGCTCCCAGCAGCAGCATGTGGGCTGCACAGGAGCTGCGAGAGGTAGACATTGAGCAGAAGCGACACTGCGCTGACATGGGTGCCTGCCATAAATACAGATGTCTGGGCCCTGGGCGGGCTGAGGGGGGATGTGGGGGCTGGACCTGTGGCCTCACGGCAGCCCAAAGGGGCTCAGAGGCAACCTGGGTAGCTCCACAACAGGAATGAGCCTGGGCCTGGGAGCAGGAGAATATGCTCAGGCCAGGAGCTCAGCAGAATCAAGACAGGGCCTCTAGAAAAGCCAAGCCCTGTCATCCTCTGTGAACTACTTGGGGGAAGGGGGTTACAGATTCAAACCTAGCTTCCTTTGAGCAGAAAGAAGGAGAGAGAATCTGACAGGTTGAGCCAGCACTCCATAAGCCACCCTGGCAACCCTGGGATCTCAGCTCTAAGCCTTCCAGGAGTCAAAAGGCCAAGCTCAGTCAGGGCAGAGTAGTGGCACAGGAAGCTGGGCCAGTACCCTTGGCAGGGGCAGAGAGAGGCAATTGCCATCCCTGCTCTGGCATCAGTGCCAGGCCAACCTGCTGTGGCTGTCTGGGGAGTAGGGGCTTTGAGACGCTGGGTCAAGCGCTCCAACCTCCCAACCCACCCAGAAATCCTCTCCCAGGCTAGGTTGAAGGTGGGAATCAGTGTCACTCTGAAAAGCTTCAGGGAGCAGAAATGCATGGACACTGGAATCAAGAACTCTCCACCTCAACCAAGGGAAACCCTTCCACTTACAGAAGGCAGGCAGGACCCAGAAAGGGTATGCAACAGGCTCAAGGGCACACAGCCTGCCCAACTGGGCCAGAACCCAAGGCTGCAGCTTACAGGGAAGGGCACAAGGCCAGCCAGGCTTTGAGAAAAGGAACACCGATCCTCAAGGGCCCTGGAAAATGCTAAAGAAACGGAGGAAGTGGAGGACAAATGGCCACCTGCAAGGAGGACAGACAGCACCACACCCTGCCCCCCTGGGGCTGCAGCAGACAGCACAGACACTGGGAAGAGTCCAGGGGATGTCCTCTCCCTCTCAGAGAACGCGCCCACTGGGCCCTAACAGCCGGGACCTCACCCCCAAAGCGGTGACCCAGGACATCACCCTGGGGAGGGCCGGTCACCAACGCCACTCACCCCTCCACACAGGGCCAGCGCTGGGGGCCCGGCCGGCGTGGCTGCAAGCCCGGGGCCTGCCCAACGCTCTGGCCGGGGAAGGGGCCACCGGCTCTCTCCATCAGGCACACATCAGCCCTGTCTAGGGCCGGCAGGGAGGCAGCGCGGCTGCACGGAGCCCCCCCACCCGTTCCCAGTGCCCCCACCCCCCATCGCGGACAGTGCTGGACAGACACGGGAGGAGAAAAGCAGAACACGTCTGTGTCTTGTGTCCCGTCCCTGCAGGCAGCCTGGCTCTGAGCACCACCGCCGGCCGCTCAGGGCACGGACTCGAACTTGGGGGGCCCCCGCGCCCAGCTGAGCGCAGGCAGCGGGCGCTCGTGGTCCTTGTCGGACTCGGGCTGGCTCTGCGCACGCTCCGGCTTGGGGTTGGCGGGCGGGTCCGGCTGCTGCACCGACAGGGTCCGGCGCAGGTGGCTGCGCTTGCGCAGGAACTCGGGCTGCGCGTGCAGCCCGAAGCTGCCCTTGCGCAGCACCATGCGCGCGTGGTTCTTCTTGGGGCGCGAACGGTGGCCGGCCTCCAGCGCTGCCAGGTGCGCGGCGTAGCCTTCGCTCAGGAACTGCGGAGGGGGCAGACAGGCGTGGGTTAGCCGATCTCCTTCCCTGACATCACCATCTCATCTCCCTAGGGTCCCCTTCTTAGGTAATGGGGGACCCACATGGCTCCAAGGGTCCCTCTGGACAACCGACCCCCCAACTTCTCTTTCTGTGCAAACTCGAAACCCAGGGCCTTCAGCACCTGAGGCCCCACCAAGCGGCCCCATCTTGGCCTCCGGACTCGGGACTAGAGTGAACCACCCATCCTTGTTTCAGTCACTAAAATCCCAAAGTAAGTCCCTGCCCTTCCCACTCACATCACCCCCTCTTTTTGTAACTCAGGGCTTACCGCTGGGTAAGCTGGTGTTCTGCCACTTGGGCCACACCTCCACCTCTGCTTTTTACTGGTTACTTTGGAGACAAACTCTAGTGGACTTTTCTGCCTGGGATGGCCCCCTCAGCTCACTGAGTAGCTAGGATTGCAGGCGTGAGCTACTGGCACCTGGCTACCACCATCCTCAGTGTAAGGTCTGCACAGGGATACCTCCCTACCTCTTGGCCAAGTTTCTGCGCAGTATCTGTTACTTAGGTAACTGGCTGACCTGGAAGCGGTCACCTTCCCCTCCTCCTAGGTCGCATCCTGGGCCACCTCGGTCAAAGGCCTCTCATCTGACCTGAGGAGGGTCCCAGACCCTGAGGTTATGTCCAGATCCAGTGTGGCCACACCTTTCCCCCACCTGGCCACACTTCTTTCTGTCCCTGGCCTAGGTAAGTCCTGGCCCAGGAGTGAGCTGCCCCCTTTCCTTTTCAGCCATGCCTCTCCACCACATTGTCCGGGGTCGGGGGGCGGGGGGGGGAGCAGTTTGGTAAATAAACCTCTTCTCCTGCCTGAATAGCAAGTGGTGTTCTCTTCATGGGCTACCTAATGAAACCTATCTATTTACTATACCTTACACTCAGAACCTTGCTGCTTAAACTGTGGTTATTGGACCAGCTGTGGCAAGTCACCGAGACCCTTCTAGGGCAGAAACTCAACCCAGCCATGCCTGCTGAGTGTGCAAAGGAGAGTACCACTTGAGAAACAAGTGACAAGCTGGAAAAGTCGAGCTCTCCAGTACCCAGGATTAAGTCTAGACATCTTCTGACCCTCCTTGTGCTGGGGTCTCCCAATCACCTGCTTCTCAGCCCCATCTTCTACCTGCTCACCCAAGGCAGACCACTGCCAGGCACCATTCTTGACTTTCCCTATCTTCCATTACAATATCAAATGTAATCCAACCCCTACCTCAGAAACACCCCCTCGGACCCTCTGCTGTCTCTCCAACTCCCCGCCTGCTCCCTTACTGAAGGGAAGGTTCAGGTCCCTGACACTCTCCATCCCTCATTCTATTAACTTTGAGAGCGGGCACCAAAATGAACAAAGCCACAGCTAGCTCATAGGTATGGACAACTCCACCCCTTCTGTCCCCACAAGCCCAGCCACAGGACATGTTCTATGTCACCTCTGCCACAAATAAGAGATACTACCCACCTCAGGCAAATTTCTTCAGATTCCAGAAGCTCACCCTGCAGTCAGGGTTTGCTGCTCCTCTCAATTGTGTGTGTGTGTGTGTGTGTGTGTGTGTGTGTGTGTGCACGCATGTGCTTCCTGTCATATATCACAGGACATCACAGCACTAGCCACGCTGTACCATCATCATGTACCCATTTTCCCATCTCTCCCACTAGACTAGATGATGTAAGATCTGACTGTTCTCCTGTACCCAACACAGGGCCCCACCCAGCCCAAGGCAGTTGCTCAATAGTGTGTATCGAATGAATGAAGGAATGAGCAAATGAAGGAATGAGGTTGGATGAATAAATGAACTGGCTACCCCTCCATCCCACTTCTTTCCCTGCCCCCCACCTCCTCCACCCCAGCTTGGCTTCTGCCCACCTGGCACTGGGTTTGGTACTTCTTGGTGGGCCGGCCCACAATGAAGATCTGGGAGGCTGGCAGGCCCAGCACGCTGTAGACGGAGATGTCCTTTGTGGAGCCATAGGCAGCACTGATTTTGATGTAGCACTGAAAGACAGAGCAACTCATGGAGGGCAAGGGAAGCTCAGCCCACTGCCATGGGTGGAAAAGCTTCCAGAGTTCCCTGTTCTGGGACACTTGGATCTGCAGTCAGATGACAAGCCATAGGCCCATTTGGGATAGGAAATCAAGTCCCAGAAAGACTGCCCCCTCCCCCTTGTTCCTACCTCATACCACAGGCCTGCTACAGCACTCTAAGGCTCTATCAGATGATGCCCATGCTGTTACTGACCCCCACCTGCCTCACCCACCACTTTACCCTGCCCCATCCCACCAATCCCCCTCCCCCTGCATCCCTGTGGTTTCTGGCCCCCACCTTGGATTCTCTTGCACCTTCATCCCTTCATTATCACTCTCACCCTTCATCATCACCCTCACTTGGCCAAATATCAGCCTTGAAACTATTCTACTAGAAATCTTCTTCATTTCTATTTGCAGAGTGTCAAGTAAGGGCTGCTGAAGAAATTCACAGGATGCGCTGACCATCAATTAGGTAACTTTTACCTGACCCCAGTCCTGCAGGTGACTTTGCCTTTGATGTTGAAGGACAGGCTTCCTCATCCACAGCTCCTTGCCTTGTAGCCTGGGCTGATTTACTCCCAACTGACCTTGCGTTCAGAGGAGAGAGCAGCCCCATGTGGGCTTCTCCCTCACCCTCCTCACTCCTGTGAGTTCAGTCTTGCAACTTCAGTTTACCCATGGAGATGACTCTGCCTCTCACCACCTTAACCCCTCCAAACTGACTTGACCCCCACTACTACTTAGCCTAATGATTCTGCCACCTGAGCCCTCAGAGATGTCACCTTCTCCACCAAGGTCTTCTAGTGTCCAGTCTTAATCTAGTGGACATTGTTCTCTGGTGCACAGCTCTTCACCAGAAGAGGACTGCTTGGAACCTCCCCTAACACCTCTCTCTCTCCTGGCCCTTCTCCCCACATCTCTCCTCCTGTTCCTCAGCATAGCTCTTCCCACTGCTCCCAGAGGCCTAGCACAGCCTCTTGCGGCTCCTGCCTATACCTGCGAATGTACACCTACTGTGTGCCATGGCCACCCAAATCCTGGAGATACATAGGGGAGTAGCACAGACAGAGACTCTGGCCCCATGAAGGCCATGGTCACCTAGGTACCACCTGGATCTCTCCTGGTCACCTGACAGGACATTTGCATGCTCCTCACTCTTCCATGTCCAACCACCAAGTCTGGATAACTCCACTCCTGATTTTCAAAAAGGCTCAGGCCTTTCTCTCTATCCATTATGACTCACCTGGATTTGGGTCTTTGTATCTCTTTCTGGGGAAACCCTAAAGGGTTTTCCTGTCCTCTGGCTAATCTGTTCTCCATAAAACCACCAGAGGGATCTTTCTCCAACTCAGATTATCCACTGCAACTCCCTGGCTTCAAACTCATCCATAGCTCCCCATGACACTCAGCAGAGAGCCTTGGCCTTGCACCTTGCATTTTCAAGGCTCATCGAGCATTTAGCTCCCACTTGTTAGCTCCCAGATGATGGGATGTCCCAGGTTTTTTCCTGCCTCTGTGCTTTTGCCTATCATAAAAAACTGTCAAAAATCAAAATGGAATTGTTTGTGTTCAAGCAAACAGACAAATACGTACATACAGCAATAGAGATTGTGAATGTCAGGCTTACTCACGCTTGTCTTATACCACACATGACTCCCAGAACCACAGCTTTGTACAAAAGCTACAGCAATCTCCCATTAATAAGTAATTCATCCAGAGCAGTAGCTACTTGTTTAACCTCAGATTGAAGTAATCATTATTAGTTAATTAATAATTAATAATAAGATTTGTGCTGGTCCTAGAGCTTGAACTCAGGGTCTCCACACTTGCTTGGCTTTCTGGCTCACAGCTGGCACTCTACCACTTGAGCCATTTTTTCTGGTTAATTGGAGATGGAATCTCACAGATTTTTCTGCTATGGCTGCCTTTGAGCCACAACCCTCAGATGTCAGCTTCCTGAGTGGCTAGAATTACAGGTGTGAGCCATAGGCATTCAATGGGACCCTTGTTATTAATCATGTGGTCATCCTTTCACCATATCCAATGCAATCCTCCTCACCTCAGCCTGGAATTCCCACCACAGTGCTTGCTGCTCCCATTGTAACACTATTCCCAAGTAAGACAGGATTTGACTTAGATTTTAATCACTTTCTCTTTCTCTAAGTCTGCCACATGCTGTTTCATTGTCTACCTAACAACCCATGTATTCATGCTTCAAGACTAAGCTCAAAAGTCCCCACCTCCTAGAAGCCTTCTCTGGCCTCCTGGGGTGAACAGAAATCCTTTCTCCTCTATTTTGCCAATAGTGCCTTTTCCAACCACACACCAGTAATTGTCAATTTACATGTTTCTTTCTCTAGATCAGGGATTGGCAGACTTTTTTTTTCCTGTGAAAAGGCAGATAGTAAATATTTCAGGCTTTGCACTCTGTCAATGCTACTCAACTCTTCTGTTGCCACAAAAGAGCAACCAAAGACAATACATAAGCAAATGAGCTTGGCTGTGTTCCAATAAAACTTTATTTTCAACACTGGAATTGGAATTTATGTAATTTTCATTAGTTAATTCCCGCCCTAGATCTGTGATCCTCAAAATGTTTTTTTCCTATGTATTAAAGACCCTGAAGCACTTGTAAAGAGAGCAGAGCCTCCTCCCTAGAGTTTCTGATTCCGTAGATCTGAACCAGGGACTCTGCATTTCTTATCAGTTCACAGATGCTAAGGAAGGTGCAGGTCCTAGCCCACTCTGGGACAACCACAACTCTAGGGCATAAACTCAAGGAGAAAAGGCCCCAGTGCAGTCCCAATACCAGGCAGAGCAAGAATACGGCGACATTTAAATGCCTCTTGGATGAATTAACCAAACATAGACATACAAGTTTAGACTTTAGAGTGCTGAGACAATAAAAGATGAAGATCTAGGCAGGCACCTATGGCTCATGCCTGTAATCCTAGCTACTCAGGAAGCTGAGATTGGAGGATCATGGTTCAAAGTCAGCCCAAGAAGTAAAGCCTGTGAGACTCTTACTTATAATTAACCATCAAAAAACCAGAAGTGGTGTTTTGGCTCAAGTGGCAGAGTGCCAGTATTGAGTGAAAAAGCCAACCTAGAGTGCTAGGCCCTGAGTTCAAGCTCCAGTACTGGCACCAAAAAAAAAAAAAAAAAGGAAAGGAAAGAAAATGTATGGCATGAACATCTACCTCAAGGAGCTGTTGAAAGGAACCAACGGGGTCCACTGAGTGTGCTTGCAAACTGTCATCCCCCTGCAGGCTGAGGGAGGGGGAGGGCCCAATCCCTCTCTTTAGCCAATGAGGCCCCGCCCCAGGGGGGTGTGGCCGGCACTCACCTCCTGCACCAGGTTGCGGAGGAAAATGGCCTTCTGCCGCAGTGGATCATGCACTAGCCCATCCGAGAAGAAGATCATGCCCTGGGGGAAGTTGTGCTGGGACAGCCAGGACACCACCCGCTGCTTCTGCATGTCCGGCCGCCCCGTGATGTAAAGGATCATGTAGCCCAGGTCCTGCCAGTGCCTACAGAGAAAGCATGGCAGCGTCCAGTGGGCAGGTGCAGGCCACTTGGCTGCCAAGCTGTCTGCTCCTTCCACTGCAACCACTAGGGAGCACAAGAGGTGACCCCAGATCCACAGTCCTTGCATTTCGGGATGGCCTGCAGATACTGCATACCCACAGCTAGACACCCTCCCCCCTCCTGTCCTGCCCCTGGAGCCAGAGACAGGCCCCTTCCCCCTACCTAGCCTCTCCAGTATGCAAGACTTCCAATTTCATCAGGCTAGGCCAGGCCCAGATCTTTGCTCCAACTTTATCTTCACTGATCCTCACCTCCTGCTCCCCCCTCCTAGTCCTCCCCATCCTCAGAACCACCACCACCACCACTACCAAAAGCTCCAAGGTGGCCTCTTTTCTGGCCACTCCTCCCACTCCAGTCTGTCCTGGGCTAGTGCCATCTGGGGCAGGTCACTTCTAGGATTTCAGTTTCCTCATTTGTAGAGTGTACATAATAATAGTAACTACCCCATGGGATTTATCCCTGGGATGAAAGGAATCAATCTCCAGTGTGCTGGGCATGGGGTGTGGATACAACTGAACTTACTTATAATTATTGTTAGTGCTGTTTCAATGCAATGTCTATAAATCACAAACCCAACCCCATTACCTCCTTGCCTAAAAGCATACCTGGCTCTCACAGCCTCAAGTTAGCTTTTGTCACCTGACTGCACTTGTAACATGCTGCCTTGCCTGCCCTGCCTTGCTCTGTGAATGGGATCTCTCAAGCCTTTGCTGCCTCCGGACAAGCCCTGTGCTCTGGGCTGCAAACCCTTCCCCTGGACATCCTTCATAGTCCTCCTCCAGGAAGCCTTCCTGCTTCCCAGTGAAATTGGGCTCTGCTCCCTGATCCTTGCAGACCACAAGGAGATGCCAAACAAGCTCAGGCCTGTTCAGCTGCTATTATGGCACCAGCCATAGATTTGATCTTTAAGGCACATCGCAGTATGAGATTCAGGAGGGCTCGGTAAAGATCCACTGTGGGCTGGGATCCAAAACTGTAGTGGCAGTCATTCCCCAGGATGTGGAGTTTCTGGGAGACCAGGAAGTTGCAGAGGGCCAGGGCCATGACCTCATCTCCTTGCTGTCCAGGGCTGGGTCCCACAGAGCCAGCCAGCAGCTGAAGGTCAGCAATCCCTGAGCAACCTGTGAGCTAGGCTGGTCTTGTCTCCCTAAAGCCATTGCTCTCAGTCGGGTAAGACAGGTCTGTGTGCCCCATGACAAGCAGTATCCCACTTCTGTCCACTCTTGGGATTCTGGAGATTCAGATTATAATTTCCCAACCCCAGGACTTCATTTCCCCACTGGACTCCATTCTCCCTTAATAACGGTCTTCTTCTGTCAGGGTGCATCCCGGAGCCTGGCTAGGAGTTAGCCTTGGGTGAAGGTGGCGGCATGCATGGTGAAGGGAGAAAAGGAAGAAAAATGAATGAGGTAAGGGCTACAAAGAGGAAGACTTTCTCTAAGAATCTTTAGTAAATTAATTAATTAATTTGTTTATTTATTTATTTCTCCTTTGCCAGTAATAGGATTTAAATTCCGGTCCCTGTATTCTTTTTTTTTTCCCTTCTGGTCCTGGGGCCTCAACTCAGGGCCTTGGCTCTGTACCTGAGCCTCTCTGTGCTCAAGGCTAGCACTCTACCACTTGAGTCACAGCACCACTTCTAGCCTTTTCTGAGTACTTTATTGGAAATAAGAGTCTCATGGACTTTCCTGCCTGGACTGGCTTTGAACTGTGATCCACAGATCTCAGCCTCCTAAGTAGCTAGGATTATAGGGGTAAGCCACTGGCACCCAACAGAGCCTTGCATTCTTGCTTGACTTTTTCCCCTGAAGGCTGTCTCTCTACCACTTGAGCCACACCACCACCACTTCTGGCTTTTTGTTGGCTAATTGGAGCTAAGACTTTCCTGTCCAGGGTGGCTTTGAACTGGGATCCTCAGATCTCAGGCTCTTGAGTAGCTAGGATTATAGGCGTGAGCCACCAGCACCTGGTACACCTTAATCAATTTCTACTAGAGATGATACCAGGACTTTGCAGCTGCCAAGCTAGGACCCAAGAACTCCTGAAAAAGGCAGGGAAATAGTCCAAGCCCCTTCATACTGCCCGCCCCATTACAGGGGAGACATGGTCCCCTCAGGACAGGTAGCACTCACCTGACAACATCCACTGCGCCTGGCCGGACTTTGGGGTCACTTCCCATGATGGACACGCTGGCTGCAAAGGACCCATCAATACTGAACACGACACACTCCATGCCCCGGGGTAGCACGGTGAGGTAGCTCATCGCACAGGTCTGGTCGCCCCTGAAAGTTATAGGCCACTAGTCAGTCTGTGATTGGAACAGGTCTGTCTAAGGCCAGTCTGGGTGACACTTCCTGATACCACAGTTTTTGCTTCTGCTGAGTATGTAGAGAGACTGGGCCCTGTCTTCTGGTCAGGCCTGACTGGAAAGGCCAGGGAAATGGGAATGTCCCCTGGGTCCTACCTGACCACCATCTTCACTGGGTAGACACCAATCCCCAGACGCCGGGGCCGTGGCACGTTGTATGTGATGCGGCCGCTGTTGTTGGTGAGCTCTGTGTCCAGGTGAACCCAGCGGCCCGAGGATGGCTCTGCCATCACCAGGATGTCTACCTACATGTAGATCGTGAAGAAGAAAAGGGACTGGCTGAAGGTTGAGAGCCTGCAGGCTTAGTGGAGAGTCTGGGAGCAGGGATGCAGGCTCCTGCCTGAGGAATTTGGCTTCCCATCCTCCCCACCTCTGCATGGCAGCCACACTGGCATCTCCTCAGATGCACCCAGCACCTCAGATGCACCTTTGCTCACCCACCACCATCCGCTCAAGGAAGGCTGGACCTTGCCCCTCGCACCTCACCTCTGGCCCCTGGTCCCTTGCCCATCACACCCTGCAGTACCATGAGGCATGAGGTACAGGCGGGGCCGACAGAGGAGACACCCAACTCTTGGTACCTTCTCTCCGGTCAGAGCTACCATGTCGAGAGGCCCATACATGAACCGGCCCACCAGAACCTGGGGCCCATCCTCAGCAGCAATCACATCATTGGCCCGGTGATTAGCAGTGACATTCTAGGAGGACAGAAAAGGAAATGTGCAGAAGCCTTTGTGAGCAAAGCTATCACCTAGCTTTATCATCAAAGTGTTCTTAGAATGGCTGGAGGCCTGTGAGCCCACTGAGTTATACCTGCTACTAGGCTTTCAGAGAAACAGACCGGGTGTCACCACCTTGTCTGAAAGGCAGCCTGGGCTTTCTCTCAGGGACAGGGGAACTGCTGCGGGGTTACACGTGTGCCCAGAGTGGCAGACCAGCCCTGTGACCTGTCCTCCCCTTCTTAATCTCTAGGCCAGAAACTACCCTATCACCTCCAGTTTTTGCCTCTGCTCGCACACAACAGCCATTTGCCATCAGGCACTTTTAGTGGAACATTTAAAATGCACAGTCATAGAGAGAATCATATAGTAAACCTCATGACAATGAACTAACTTCCATTCTGTTTTCCTTCTCCCCAGCCCAGCCCCAGGCCAGCCCAGACCCAGCCCAGCCCAGTCCCAGACAACCTCAGCCCCAGCCCAACCCCAGCCCAAATCCAGCCCAGCCCTAACAAAGCCTAACTCCAGTCCAGACTCAGCTCACTTCCAACCCAGACTGAGTCTAGCATACACAGAACAGCCCTTGCTCCCTGCCTCTTGCCAACTCCCAGCATATCTCAGCACAGCCCCGTCCAGCTCAGGTTTCTCTGGAACAAATCTCAGAGAGCATGTCCTTGTACCTGAGGTGACATCAGCATCCCCATCCTCTCTCACTTCTGCCTCAGATCATTCTGCAGCTCCAGGCTTGTGTGGGGCCCCCCCATATCACCTCTATCACCACTCCCGGGCTGGCCTTGGCATCCCACATCTCAGTGCTGGCCACACCATATTAACTCTGGACTCTTCTAGAAGCCTCCTAATAGAGCTTCTTATTAAAAAAAACTAACCCTGACAAATAAGGCCCAGGTATCAATCTTTCTTTCTCATCAGTGCCTCCTCTTGTTAGAGCGAAAACTTCCCCCAGGCCATATTCAGTAAGTTAGAGAGTCCTGTGGGCCACCGCAGGATCCTGGCTCAAGTCCACATCTTTAGAAGCCTGGTGCACAGCAACTGCTCCCCAACCAGTATTTCTCCACGATCATCAGGGCCCCCAGCTCAGGGCTCCTGTGGGGCTGGGCCACAGGGAACCAATGTATGCTCTTTGCACTGTGGCCAGGGCCTTGGGTGCATGTGCCCCAGCCCTGTGAGCCCTCAGCTCTGCAAATCTGCCTCCTGTTGTTCCAGCCCTGGGGCATCTCCCCTCCCTGAGGCCATACCAGTACCAACCATGCACACACATACCCTTAGCTTGACCTGGGTCCGCTTGCGCAGCCACTTTTCCCGGGGGTTTGTGGGGCTCAGGGCGGCAGGGTCCAGGCCACAGCTCTCCTTGATGCTCACGTTCTCATAGCGCATTACCTGGCAACAGGGAGCAGGGGTGAGTCAGCCCCCCCCCCAGCCACTCTCCCCCACCCACCAGCTGTGACCAGCTAGACCATCCCTGGGCTTCCTACCTCCTGGCCTGAGCCCATAGGAGGCTGAAGGCCTTCCTGCCCCTCTGTCTGCCATGCTTGAACCCTGTGGCTACCCAAGTTGGCACCCATTATCTACCTTCCCATCCTAAGGCCCACCTCTTCTGCCCTGTCCCTCCCCCTCCTCAGAGCCACTGTTCCCCAATGCTCTCCACTCCCCTACACACCCTGCATCACAGACCAAACTCTCTCTGCTGCTGGTTCATGCCACAGTGTATTGGTTTGTTTGTTTTGCTGGTCCTGGAGCTTGAACTCTGGGCCTGAGCTCTGTCCCCTGTGCTTCATTTTTTGCTCAAGGCGAGCACTCTACCACTTGAGCCACAGCACCACTTCTGGTTTCCTGGTGGTTCATTGGAGGTAAGAGTCTCACAGACTTTCCTGCCCAGGCTGGTTTTGAACTGTGATCTTCAGATCTCAGCCTCCTCAGGAGCTAGTATTACAGGTGTGACACCCCCCCCCTCCGGCACTTGGCATGCCATTCTTTTTAGCAAAAGAAGTTGCCCTCCCTCGTCTTTCTACTGTCTCTCCAGAAGAGGCTCCTCTGTAGAGTATCAAAGGATGAGTAGGAGTTTAGGATGCATACATCCAGAGCTGATGTCTTCCCTAAGCCTCAGACTGCTCTATTCCTCGTCCTTTCCCATACCTCCCCAGCTACTCCCACCTCCACAGCCAGAAACCCAGCAGGATGCCCAGCCACCATCTCTGCTCTGGGGGAAGCCTGGGAAACAGCACTCCTATAGGTACTCAAAGGGAGAGCAAGTTGGGAAGGCGCCCCCCCCCATCCTTGCAGTACAGATCTCACCACTCAACAGCACCCAGGTCACGGTCCTTTCTAAGTGAGATCCCTACTTTGCTGCCCCTCTTGCCCCTAGAAACACAGCCCTAGGGTTTCTCTCTCAAAACACAACTCAATGACAGTTCTCCCTTGCACACAGCCAGCCTTGCCATGGCTTCCCCCTAAACTCAGGCTAAGTTAGAACCTAACCTTGACTGTCCATGCTGGCCATGAGCTGCCTACCCCCTTCCCAGCCCTCTTCCCCAGACTTCCTGCTGCACCCTCTATTTATTTTTATTTTTTTTGTGCCAGTACTAAGACTTGAACTCAGGACCTGGGTGCTGTCTCTTAGCTCCTTTGCTCAGGCTGGTGCTATACTACAGCTCCACTTCTGGCTTTTTTGGTGATTAATGAGAGATAAGAATCTCACAGACTTTCCTGCCTGGGATGGATTTGAACTGGGATCCTCAGATCTCAGCCTCCTGAGTGGCTAGAATTACAGGTGTGAGCCACTAGGCCATTACTCTTGGTGAACTTGCTGCTTTAAAGCTGAGACACAGAAGGGAGCAGAGACACGGAGTTCTAGGCAGATCCTATTTAATTTTCTAGAAAGCACCATTGTGTTAGCCACACAAAAGCCAGTGTTGTGCAAGAAACCCCTTCTGGGACACCTGACACTGGTGTAAGCACCCCAGTGCCTCCCAGAGCTGTCAGATAGAGGCCAAGGGCTGGGCACAGCTGCAGGGGGACATGGAGCCCTCTATGGGTGCCTGTTGGCCAGGCCCAGCCAGGGGGGTCTCGTACCTGTCTCAGGATGAAGGCAACCACATCCACTGACTCCCAGTAGCTGGCATGGAAGAGGTGGGGCAGGGCCACAGTGGGGAAGGCAGTGAGGACATCCGGGCAGAACAGGGCATAGTCAATCCGCTTGGTGCCCCACCACTTGGCCGTGACTGTGGGGCCGAGAGGGAGGTGAGGACAGGGCAGCAGGAGGCTCCCACTGCACAAATCCAGGGTGGATGGGCCATCAAGCTTGTTGTGAATGATCTGGGGATGGGCAGCTTCTCCTCCGACCTCCTCACCCTCTGCACACCCCTCCTCTAAGACATGGCTCCCAACTGCTCCCAGGACACAGGGTCAGGCCCTCTGTCAGTGACAGTCAGCTCAGGACCCCTGTTAGAGACCAGGGCCTAGTCCTGGGTCAGAGGTCAGTATTCAAACCCTGGTCAGGGTCAGAGGTCAATGCTCTTCAAGATCAGAGCTTCATCTCAGCAGGACCAAAGCTCAGGGGTCTAGCTAGGGTCAGAGCTGAAGATTCTGTCTGAGGTGAAACTGGGGATTTCATAAGAATGCATTCCGTCTGGAGCCACAAACCCTACAGACCCACAGTTCACAAAAACAAATGGTGCCCAGGGTTTCCTTCACACTTCCCTACTGCCCAGAGAAGGTTAGTCTTCCTTGAACACAAGCAGGGCCCCAAAAGGACCTCACTCACTGCGGGAGGCATCCAGGGGGGCCAGGCTATCCGAGGACTCTGAGCTGTCGCTGCGGGAGCTGCCTTCACTCAGCCTTCGTCCTGGGCGCTGGAACTTCGGGGCCTGAGGGGGTGAGGCAGGGGCATCCAGAAGCGGGGGGCTGCCCCGGGAGCTGCCCTCCAGGAACAGGGGGCTGTGGGTGTGCAGGGCATCAGCTGGAGGGGGAAGTGCAAGGTCAGGGTGAGGAGAGGGGGGTCTCCATCAGGGATAGCTACTTGGTGCCAGCCATGCAGGACAGGAGGCTGGCTCAGCCAGTGATCTGCACCCTCCCCTCACACACACAGCTGTGTTTCATGTCCTCTTAAGTTGTGAGTTATTCAAGCAGTGGGAGCTCTGACATCAACCCTTAATAGATTGCACCCCATCGCCCTCCACCCCACCCCCAAGCCCAGCTGAGGACATGGTCATCATGAAGTCTCATTTTCTCCCTTGAAACTCTTCCCCTAAGTCACAAAGGCTTGTGGATCGGCTGGAAGAGAGCACCACCTGGAAGACAGGGTAGCCTCTTCTTAGTAGGCCCTGGCCACAGGCTTCCTCTTCGGGCACCCACCCTGCTGAGATCTGGGGAGTTCCACTTGTATGCCAGTGTGGACACAGAGCCCCACTGCCTGCTCTCTCACCCCAGGTGCCAAGCAGGTAGCCACTCTAGAGATAGCAAAGCCAGCAGTCCAATCTATCCACAAGCACAAGTTGAAGCCCTTCCCATGTGAACTGCTCCCACACTGACCCAGTTAACCCCATTAACCATATGCGTGGCTAAAGCTGACAGCCCTCTAGGCTGGACCAGACACAAAAGCCCTGGATAAGACCCCAGCCCCCACCCAGCTCATCACACACAGCCAACCACCTACTTAGAAGGAGGGACTGTCCATCACCCAGCGGGAACCTCTGGTAGCGGGGCACGCTGATGGGGGGCACCAGGTGGAACTTGGGCTCCAGCAGCGGCTCAAGCCTGGAGGCCGAGGGGTCTGCACAGTGGAAGAAGCTGTAGACCTGGCTACAGGCAGGACGCACCTGCAAACCTGGAGTGATTGGGGAGACACACAGGGAAGCCTCACTTCAGTCCCTCCCTCCCCTTGGCCCAAAAAGATTCCCTGGAGTTTAGTCTGGGAGCCTTCTCTTCTGCTCAAGAGCTTTCCATCATGGACACTTGCACAGCAGCCACAGTGGACAGGTGCGGTCCCCACTGCAGGCTTTGCGGAAGGGATCCCTCCTTCTCCTAGGAGGTCAGCCCTCCATGTTTCATTGACACTCCTCCAGCTTCTGCTCAGTGGCCATCTGACCTCTCAGCGGCCCCTGGCTCAGGCACCCAGTGACTCCCAGACAACACTCAGGTCTGCAGATTTCCAGAGCAGACAGAGCACTTCCCTCCCTGGCCAGCAGGTGTCTCCACTGAGGCTCTGCTTCAGCCTCCATGGGTGGCTGGCCTCCCTGCCCCTGGACCTATGGACAAATGGTGTCCAAAGAGCCCCTGGGCTCTTCTGGGACAGGAGAGGCTCATGGGTTCTGCCTTTTTTCCTCATGCCAGCCCCCTCCTCTGGCTCGGGGCTGCATTTCAGGTCATCTGCAAGCTTTGACAAAAAGCAGTGGCTGAGGGGCTTCAGTCTCGTCCTGAGGGTCCCAGCCAAAGCCCCCAGTGAACAGACGGCCTCCTTCCCACACAGGCACACTCTGGAGGACTGGGAATGGGTGCTGTGGGGGAAGGCAGGATCCTGCACAGTGGAGTGCTAGCCAGAGGCATAGGACCTCTGCTCTATCTTGGGACACTTTCCTCCTCCTCCTCCTCCTCCTCCTACTCCTCTTCCTCCTCCTCCTCTTCCTCCCCTACCCCAACATCTTCTTCTCCCAAGTCTCCTGTCCTCTCCATCTACCCTTCCTACTCCACCTCCATCTTCCGGCCTCACCAATGCTTAGACTGTGACAGGGTGGCCTAATGATACACAGTCATCTCAGTCCCTGGCTGTGCCACACTCACCATCCAGCCCGGGCAACACTGTCCTCCTCATGGCCAGGACCAGGCCTAGGGGTGAGCCAAAGAGGAAGAAATCGGACACCTCGAAATCAAAGCGGCCCAGGCTGACCTCAGGGAGCTGGGGTGCCCCGGCCACAGGGAGCTCTGTCTCATCCTTCAGCACACTGGAGTGGATGCTGCCAGGGAACAAGAGCCAGGGGAGGGCTGGTTAGGGAAGGATGGAGAAGGTGAGCATGCATACGCTGCGGGACAGCCTGAAGAGTGGGCACCCACTCCCACGGGGGCTCTAGACAGGGCTCAGAAGAAGAGTCCATTTGCTGGACACCAGAAATCCCAGCTGGAAACAAGCTCAGCACCAGCCACCGAGGCCCAGCCAACATTTATCTTTAGCAGAAGTCAGCAAACTTCTCTATAAAGGAGCAGATGGTAAATGTTTCAGACCTGATGGACTGTATGGTCTCCATTGCATTGACCTATGTCTGCTATTGACGCATCGAAATATTGAGCAACTGTATAAGACACTTGGCTCATTCATGTGGCTGAGATCTCTAATCCTTTTACTAATAAAAACTGGCCATGCCAGTCACCCGTGGCTCATGCCTATAATCCTAGCTACTCAAAAGCTGAGATCTGAGGATCACAGTTCAGAGCCAGCTCCAGGAGGAAAGTCCAGGAGACTCTTATCTCCAATTAACCCGCAGAAAGCTGTCAGTGGAGCTGTGGCTTAAGTGGTAGAGTGCTAGCCTTGAAATGTTCAGGGACAATGCCCATGTCCTGAGTTCAATCCCCGGATGGGCATAAATAAACAAATAAGAGAGAAACAGGAGACACACAGAACCCTAACCATCGCTTTTCAAGTACCTAATGCAGGTTCTATTCAGCCTCAGACCCCAGGCTGGGTGCTGAGGAACAGGCACACTGGGGACCCCTCTGCCCATCCAGCAAATAAATGCAAGGTACAGCTTACAATGGAAACCCAGCAGAGAAACTGAATTATCTGTCAAGCAATGAACCAAATCCATATGCAACCAAAACAGTATGTGTAGAAGGGGAAAAAAATGTACAAGTAACCATGGAACCAGGGTGGAGCAGGGTCCCGCCTCTGCTCTCCTCTGCCTCTTACAGCGTGAGCTTCCCACCGTGGGAACGATGCTGCTGTCATCTAGCCTGAGTCTTTCACGTGCCAACTACTTAATTGCCAAAGAAACCACCATCTGTCCCTGCACCAGAGGGAAAAGCCGGCTGCATCAGGCCAGCCATTGGAAGCTTCTGACGTTCTGTCACTCCCTAAATCTGGGGCTTTCCTAAAAGAGTTTTCAAGGATGAAGCAGCAGTGTGAGAGTCTCACCTCATGACTCTCCCTTGCAGGCCTCTGCACCTTAAAGGGGATGATCTGTCAGAGAAGCTACAACCCCACTCTCAAAACGTCTTATTGGGATTTCACCTTTTTCTGGGAAAGGGAACAGTTTCCAGCTCCTCTGACAGATCTGAATTGCCAACCCCTGTGCCTCACAGTTGTTATTAAAATAATGGTTCCTTGACCACAAGCACTGGGATGTTTTGAAGTCTGTTTATACCCAAGGAAGCTGATAAATAACCAGCAGATAGGTAGCATATACAGGGTGGACACCCTGGCCCCCTTGGCAACACAGAGCATGAGAATAGCATGAGACCATCATGCTACTCAGAACAGTGTATAGTGGAAAAGAGGTCCCATTTATTTTTAGAAGGCTTTATTTAATATTTTCAGACCATAAGTGATGATGGGTTGAAACCACAGAATGCAAAATTGGAGAGAAAGAGAGACTCCAGTACTCCTTTTTATGAGTATTAATATTTAGGCCCTGATGCAGTGCTACTTATGATAGCCAGACTGAGAAGTACGCCTTTGATCTCAGCTATCTGGGAGTCAGAGGAAATCCCAAGTTCAAAGGCAAGATCTTGTCTCAAAGGCAAAATAAAAAGCTGGCACTTGTTCCTCGTGCCTGTAATTCTAGATACTCACAAAGCTAAGATCTGAGGTTCAAAGCCAAGATCATGATTCAAAACTAGCCTAAGTGGAAAAGTCCATGAGACTTTTATCTCCAATTTACCAGCAAAAAGAGACGTGCTCAGGGCACTGGTGGCTCATGATTGTGCCTATTCAAGAGGCTGAGATCTGAGGATCACAGTTCAAAGCCAGCAGGGACAGGAAAGTCTAGGAGACTCTTATCTCTAATATGCACCAAAAAAGCCAAAAGTGGATCTATGGCTCAAATGCTCAGGGAGTGGTGTTTGGTACAAAAGTTAGCAAGACTTGACCTCCAATTCAACCAAGAAAGCAGTGTGGTGGCATCCACCTGTCACCCCAGCTACACGGGAAGCTTAGCTTGGAGGATTGCTATCCACACCAACCCAGACAAAAGCACAACACCCTATTTGACAAATAACTAAGGGAAAAAAATGGAAAAGGGTGTGGGACAAGTGGTAAAGCATCTACCTAGCAAGTGAAAGGCCCTGAGTTCAAACTCCAGAAATAGACAGACAGACAGATAGATGGAAGATAGATAGATAGATAGATAGATAGATAGATAGATAGATAGATAGATAGATAGAATTGTAAGGGTTAGAGCCTTAGCTCAAGTGATGCATTCGCAAGACCCTGGGTTCAATCTCTACCCAGAATTTAAATTCCATGGAAGGGAGTTTACAATATAAATATCTTTGGCTTTGTTGGTTTAAATAAACTTGTATGCAAAGTATGTTAAAAATTTGTAAATGAAATATTCCAAAATGTTAACACTGGCTCCTTTGGATAGTAAGAAGATGTATTTCCAAGTGTCATGATGACTTTATGATACTTGTTGCTTGGGTAAGAAGGTAGGAGGGAGAGTGGAGAGAAGCTAAGAAGAAAGAAAGAGTGAAAAAATACACTGCTGCTAAGTTAGGTCTGTGTTTGGTACTCATGTCCATCTTCAGTGAATGTACAGATCACTTACTTCACCTCTGTTGATTAATGGACTCTTCTAGAGAGTGAAAGGTCCCTTCACAAAGCTCCTGCCTGGCCTACAACAAAAGTATGTTGTGTCCCATACTCTGAACAGAAGGCCAGAATGCTGAATCCAAGCACTTTAGTAACTGGAGATTGAAAACTGGTGTTTTATTTTGTTTTACTTAACTCATTATTTATTCATTTATTTCCTTAAGTAATTGTACAAAGGGGTTTCCATTCAACATGTCAGTTTATGAGTTCCATGCATCTTGATCAGTGTCATCCCTTTTATCATTTCCACCCATTTCTCCCAGTCCTACCCAGCCCCTCAATCTACCTAGCTCCACTTTCACATATGTACATTGAATATTGGGACTGAATTTGTTCACCCTTTCTCTCTCTCCATTCTTTTTGTGTGTGTGTGTGCCCATACTGGGGCTTGACCTCAGGTCCTGGGTGCTGTTTCCTAGCTTTGAAAACTGGTTTAAACAAAAAACAAAAAAACCAGGGCAGCCCACACAACATGTCCCACCTGTGATTCTGCAGCCTGAGCCGGAAAGTGGCCAGGCAGTGTTACCTTCTTCTCAAAAGACAAAGCTGAGGCTCAGAGAGATTAAATGAGTTGTCCCCCAGCAGGGACAGGAAGCCAGGCCAATGGCAAGTGGCCTTGGTCCCAGCATTGTGATGCTTGCCACCAGCCCCCGTGGAAGGGCCTGGGACATGACTGGTCGCAGGCTTCTCTGATGTCTGAGAGGGAAGGTCCTCTCCACCTTAGATGCCTGGATTGGAAAGGGGACGGAGGCAAGGGAGGAGTTACCTTGAAAGGAAGGCGTGGTGCTGGGCGATGGCCTCGCAGTCAAAGGTGGAGGAGTCACTCTGTTTCCGAGGCAACGGCCTCTTGGGCTCCTCCTCCTCCTCCACCCCGCTGGAGACATCGATGTTGCTTTTGCTGAGTCTCTTGCTGCTGGCCAGACTGCAATCTTCTTCCAGTGCAACTGGGGTGTCCTTGGGGTTCGGCAGAGGACAGGAAGCATGGTTGTCACAGGTACCTCTAAGACCTTGCCTCCTTGTCCTAGGCCCAGATGAACCCCTTCCTCCTACAGTGGCTCATAGATAGATTTTAGGTCCACACTGTCCTCTCTGATCACAGGTATGAGCCGTCCAGCTGGGACACTGGACAGCTATCTATGGGGATATACCCAAAGCAGCATCCTCTGGGCCTCAGTTTCCCCACCTGTGCTAATGATCCCTTGTCATGATGACACACGCCTTTGTACCATGGGTGTCATGGTGCCATCATGAAGATCAACATCACCTCTCCCGGGGGGGGGGGTCCCTGCTGGGACAGAAGGAGGCTCCTAAGGACCCCACCCCACCCCAGGCCTGTCCCCTTCCAAACCTGGGAGCTGCTGATGCTTCCTTTCCGGCTGCTGCTGCCAGGGCTGTCCCCAGAGGGGCCCGAGCTATAGCAGATGGCATCAAAGGCCAAGAGGCCGCCCATGCAGTCACCGATGAGACACACCTGCAAGAGGCTCAGTCAAGCTGCAGACGACCCACACTCTGCCAGCTCTCCACCCCCACCCCACTAAGGCAGAGGAGGAGACAGAACATTCCCTGAAAGCCAGGTGCGGGGTGGGGGTTGGGGGTGCTCACACCTGTAATCCTAGCTACTCAGGATCAAGATTTGAAGCCAGCCTGGGCAGGAAAGTCCTGGTGAGATTCTTATCTCCAATTAAACTCAAAAGAACTGGAAGTGGAGCTGTGGCTCAAAGCAGTAGAGCACTAGCCTTAAGCAAAACAAGCTCAAGGACAGCACCCAGGCCCTGAGTTCAAGCCCCATGACCAACAAGACAGAAGAAAGAAAGAAAAAAGAAAAGAACATTTCCTAAAGAGGTGCCGAGAGCCCAGCTGGGGTCAGGTTTTACTGAGGTTCAACCTGGGGACAAGGATCAGGCTGTGCTCAGGGGTCAGACTTGGCTAGGACTCAGCATGAGCCAACCCCAGGTCTTAAAAGCCTTCCCGAGTCTCACATGCTGTTCTCTCATCCTCCCAGGAGACAGTGACTGGTGCCCTACCTGCCCGCTGAAGCCTATCCCATCAGAGGACTTGAGGAACTCGCCGTACACCTGGTTGGCTCGCTCTATGACCGTGGCAACTGCATGCTGGTACTGCGGGGAGGAGATGGCCAGCAGGGGCAGGGCGGCCAGGGGCACATGGTCCTGGCTGGTGCTGAGACAGGCTGCATCGTGGCTGAAGGGATTCAGGCTGTAGATAAGGAACTCAAGGTGAGCTTGCCCAGGAGCAAGCAGAGAGCAGGGATGGGGCTGAGGGCCAGGCAGAAGAAAGCACATCCTAGCAAGGCATGGGCAATGGGGTAGAAGAGGTCAAAGACACAGAAGTGGGGACTTGAGCCCAGGCTGACCCATGTGCCCACTCTGTGCCCCCCCCATGGTTGGCACAGCAGTGTTTCCTTGCCTACTTCTGCACTGAGGAAGGAGGCAGCGGGGATAAACGTGGGCCATACCAAGGTGGCAGACTTCCTGGGGAGGTGGGATCTGAACTTCTCTTCCCAGCTGCCTCCCTGGCCCACCCTGCTTGTTTCTGTCCCCTGGATACACTAGTGGTACAGGAGGCACACAGAAGGAGGCTGGGAACTCCCTGCCAGACATGTCCTTTCCCTTCCTAGCCCAAGTTCTGGCCAATGGAGAGCCTTGTGCGGATCCTGCTAGAGATCCAACAGAAATCTAGGGCAGGTGACAGGGCCTAGGCACCTTCAGCCAGTGGCTGAGTGTACAAGGCAGGCCTGTCAGCCATTCCTCAGCTCCACAGAACACAAATTAGAGGAAACGGGCCTCGATTGCAGCCGGAGAGATTTTAATTAGCTGAGAAAGAGCTCCCTCCCAGCAGCGATTATGGGGAGATTAATGGCCCTGGCAAGGAATGCCTGGTGGGGAGGTAGGCTCTCTCGTGCTGTCCCCTCAAAGAGCCCCTGTTCTCAGCCTTCCTGTGCATAGGGGCGCCCAGCTCTGGTGGCCAGGCTCTGGAGGTCAGATGCCCTGGGGCAGGGGTGAGGGAGAAGGGGGGCATGGTTCGTGAGATTGATCATGAGCCAGCACCATTAACTCTGAACCTGAGACATGCCAGCGCTGTAGCTGCCAAGTCCTGTGGAAGAGGGAGAAGCAGCAAACCACTGTCAGAGAAGCAGATTCCAGGATGGTAGACAGGTTGAGAAACCACAGGTCTCCTCTGCTTCTCTTCTTCCATCTCTGACTGGCATCTGCCCACGGCATCCTCAGAGCATGGGGAACTCTCTGTTCTCCATCCAGTGGGCACAGGAATGGAGGGGGGTGTGTGATCATGTGATCTGATCTCCTGACCTGCTAGAAGGCACTGTGCAGACCTAGACAGGGTGCTCAGCCATCCTGCCTGGAGGCTCTGTTCTTCAGGGACATTGAGCACCCCCACAGCGACCCCAACTTTGCTTCTGGGACCTGCTTGCAGCCCTCCCTCACCCCAGAGCGGGGCTTTGGCTTGAGAACCCAGCCGGGCTGTGTGAGAAGGCTGAGGAGCCCAGCTGAGATTCCAGCAGCTCCCTTGCCACCCCAGCTGCAACAAGGTCTCAGCTTCTAGCACCAGTGACTTGTCAAATGCCTTCAGGGATGTGGGTTCTGCAGGCACACAGGCCTTTAGTGAGGATGACTGACTGGGAGAAAGCAAGTATGTGTCCACTCAGCTCCAGGTGTGGACCTTTAGCCAATTCCTCAGTGACAACTGGAGGTGCCAAAGCCCTCTGGGAGCAGAGCAATGGGCAGGCCCCAAGCACTGAGGGGCCTTCCCTGACCTCATGGGTATGGGGGCCCACAGCACGTAGGGAGGGGGTGTCTGCACTTTGAGTGAGGGAGTTATTCGTGCTCAGCCTGAACCTGTCCATATCATCTCCATCATTCCAGCTTCTCAGAGGAGCCTCCCTGGCCCCGGGAGGTGGAGGGTGCTGGAATCAATGATGCCCATCTGTGCATCCAGAGACCTCACCACTCAAGGGAGGCAGCACCACCATTATCCCCAGTTACAGATGCATGAATGGAGGCTGGGAGAGACTAAACCATTGCTGCACAGCCAGATTCCAGTTCTGGCTGACCTAAGAGGCCACACATGTCACCCTGTTCCCTCTCCAAAGTCACCTCCTCCAGGTCACCCTGGACCTCTCAGCAGGCCCACAGTGCCTAGGCCCTCTCTGCTGTCAGCATCTGCCCCTTAGCTGCAGTTCTGTGGCTTAAGAGGAAGGCTGTGTGTTTGACTCCCAGCTCCACATTTTGGGTAAACCCCTCGGAGAAACTGCTGGACCTCTGAAGGTCTTGTTTCTTTTTCTGGGGCAACGGGATCAGGCCCACTGACCACCGGAAGCAGGTGGAGCTATCACCTGGCCCACAAGAGAAGGTTCCATGCCAATCCCAGGCAGAGTGGACAAACTGAGCCGTACTCACTTGGAGACGAGCGTGAAAGCTTCGGAGCAGATGGCAGGGCAGGGGACGAACTTGATGAGGATGTGGCCCAGGGCAGCAGGGAAGTGGGCACGCATGACCTTGTCCAGGATGGAACTGAAGGTGTGGATGTCGGCTGCCTTGCAGGATGGGTCTCCCGAACCTGTGTCCAGCATGTTGCCCCCATGCAGCACCAGTAACAGGACGTGTGTCTTGCAGGAGCGCTGCGAGCAGCCTTCCTGAGGGGGACATCAAGGCAGAGATAGGGGGCAGTGTGGGCAACCCAAAGCCCCAGCAGAAGAGCTCTACAGATCCCTAGCACATTCAGAGGGAGGACCCTCGGCCGGGAAGGAAAGATACTCCATTGAGCATCAGAAAAGAGGAGTCTAGAGAAACCTTTTCTATCCACACAGGAGACCAAAGCCCACATAGCAAGTCCAATGGAAGCTCCACCATCCCAGGGCTCTTCCTACTTTCCTGGGTACAGACACCTCGCAACCCAGCGCACCTCACCATCCTCGTGGATCTCAATGCTCCCCTGAGCTGGGAATCTCTGTCTTCTCAGGGAAACCCGGTACAGCTCTCCTGCAACGAAGCACAAGGCAAGCTCAGCTCCCTCCGCAACCCACCAGCAACACAAGCGAGGCCCTGGCTTGTCAGAGAGTTGGAATTACAATTATGCTGGGCAGTGTCTCTCCCTTTCCAGCCTATGATGCCCCCCATAATGTGAAACACATTGTCTTGTTAAGGAAGGGCCATCATGGGTCATCCTAGAAGGTCCATCCTCCTTCCTTCTCCAGGGACAGCAACAGTGCCTGCCACCTGTCTGATGATAGCCACTGCCAGTCACAGTAATTTGGGCCAAACTACATGCCCCTCCCCCCTCTGAGATCAATGGAAGAACAGATGTGATGATCTATGTCACAGCAACTTGATTGGGCTAAGGGTTGCCCAGATGGCTGGTAACACAATTCCTTTTGTGATGGTGGGGGCTCCGTCAACCTGGAGAGTGTATAAGAAGGCCCGCCACACACAAGTAGGTGGATATGGTCCAATCTACCTGAAGAGAATCAAAAGTGGATCTACTCTCTTGATTGACTTGGATGTCCAAGGTTGGCCTCCAGCTCTCTATATCAGCACTCTTGGTTCAGGCCTCTGACACCAGACCAAGACTATACTACTTACTTTCCTGAGCAGAAAGATCCCAGGAACTCTCTGCCTGTCTAACTGTGTGAGCGCATCTCTCCTGAGATATCTAGGCTTGTAACTTTCCATGTACTACATTAGGACTGTTTCTATGGAGAACCCACAGATAACACAGCTGGATAAATAAGCTTATCAAAAGATGAGGGCTGAGGCTGGGCGCCATGGCTCATGCCTGGAATCCTAGCTACTCAAGAGGCTGAGATCTAAAGCTCACCATTCAGAGCCAGCCCAGGCAGGAAAGTCTGTGAGACTCTTGCCTCCAAAAACTCTTCAAAAACCAGAAGTAGTGCTGTGGCTCAAAGTGGTAGAACACTGGCTTTGAACAAAAAGAGCTCAGGGAACAGTGCCCAGGCCCTGAGTTAAAGCCCCACAATCAACAATAACAACAAAAAAGATTAGGGCTAGGAGTGTAGCTCAGTGCTTGCTTACTATGTGCAAGGCCCTGGGTGGCATCCTTAGTGCCAAAAATCATCATCATCATCATCATGGTTGTCGTCACTGTCATCGTCGTTATCATCATCATCTGGCTGAAGCTATTCAATAGGCCTTGACCTATGGGATCATGGTCCGAGGTAAGGTGATCCTCTGAGAGGTGGGGTTAGCCTTTGGGATCACTGTCAGCAACACTCATGAGTTCGGGGTGAAGCCTGTCATTCAGAAACATTCTCCTCACACCTCCTAAGGAACATCCAGCCCCAGCCCCATTCAGAGTTTCTAGTTCTCTAACAGAGAGCTCTACCGTCAAGGATGGAATATGGCCCACCTCTTGTTTGTGTTTTTGTTTTTAATAGAGTTTTGTTGGCACACAGCCAAGCTCCTTCATTGATATATCATGCCACAGTGCAGATTTCATCAGTTGAAACATAGTTACAGCACCCAAAGCCTAAAATATTTATTATCTCACCTTTTCCAGGAAAATGTGCCAAATCTGGGGTCTAACACTCATGTTCAAAGGGTGATCACATCAGATTAGGATGTAAAGAACTACAAAACAACCATCAACTGAGCACCAGTGGCTCCCTCCTGTAATCCTAGCTACCAAGGAGGCTGAAATCTGAAAGGTGCAATTTGAAGCCAGCCCCAGCAATAACATCTGCAGGACTCCATCTCTAATTAACCAGCAAAAGGCTGGGCTGGAGATAGGGCTCACATTGCAAAGTACCATCTCTGAGCAAGAAATGGAAGGAAGCAAAAGGCTGGGCTGGAGATAGGGCTCACATTGCAAAGTACCATCTCTGAGCAAGAAATGGAAGGAAGCACAAGGCTCTGAATTCGAATCCAGTAGCCAATCTCCACCCAAATAATGCCTGCTACCCCCAAGAAGGCCTTCCTCCCACTCCACCCACCAGGCCGGCAGAGGTCCTTCCTATTTCTAGCCACTGGGTCTGAAGCAATCCCTGCCTCCTCAGCCCCTCTAGCCCTGCCCCTGGGTGGTTTCTGCAGAAGTACCACTCGGAGGAGCTGTTCTCAGCTGGAAAGTGCATTTCTGAACTATTCTGTCCTGGCAGACACCACCTTGGCCTGAGGTCTGAGGGCAACAGCTTTATGAGCTCTCAGCTGTTACCCACACAGACAGGAAATCGTTCCCTAACTGATGAAGAGGGTGGCTGGTTTGGGGGATTATTTTGGTGTTTGGTTTTTCTTCTTCTTTTTCTTTCAGAATCTGCCTGGCACTTTCTAATATTCCTCCCTGTGCCATAGTTTCCTGCCAGTTTCTAAAGTATAATAGGAATGGCCCGGCCCATTTTATTGAACATTTATTAAGTGCCAGGCAGTATTGGCTTGACATGGATCATCTCAGCAGGTCCCCATAATTGTCCTGAGTATGAATGTTTTTATTCTATTTGTTTATTTATTTATTTTGCAGTTGGTACTGGTGCTGGTACAAGGACCTATGAGCTGTCCTTTAGGTTTTTTTTCATTCAATTCTAGCACTCTACCACTTGAGACCTCTATTTCCATATCTTTGGTGGTTAATTGGAGCTAAGTGTCTCAGAGACTTTCCTACCAAGGCTGGCTTTGAACTGAGATCCTTAGATCTGAGTTCTTCTGCCAGAGGCAAAAGGTCTATCACCTAACGGAGGCCTATGATAACCCAGGTGCAGACCTGTCCTTCTGCAGTTCATGCCCTCTTAATCTGCAAGAAAAGCCTCAGGAACACACATGGATAGAGGCATCTGGAAGACACGAGTCAGGCTCTGCTGCCCAGAGGCCTCATTCTACTACTTGAACAGTTTGTCAGGAAGGAAAGCATCTCCCATCCAGGGAAGTGGCCAACAGGGAGCAGCTGAGCTTCATAGCCATGCAGCTTAGTGTGCATCTGGCTCCGTGGCAGGTAGTGAGCACAAACGAGTTCATGTGCAGGAAGGGCTCTCCAGCAGGGCAGAGGATACAGAGAGTGCGGTGTGTGCAGCTGCTATTGTGATTCCTATTATCCTGGGTGCGTGAGGTAGAGCAGAGCTGGGGCCATGGCTGACAAGATGAGAATGTTGAATCCTCCACACCCGCCTGCCCTGGGCCAAGTCCCTGCCTAGGTCCTGGCAGGCTGGCAGACCCCGCTAGGCTGGGTGCCTGCTTGCAGTTTGATTACAGGATTAAATGCTGTGATTGCCACAAATTACCATCGTGCAGCTATAAATAACTTGCAGGGGAGACAAGGGTCCTGCTGTCTCCCGGGCATTGTGCCCTCCGCCAGGTGGGGGCTGGATCACACACCTTCCCAGATGACACAGGCCCATTCTCAGCATCTTCCATCCACCTGCAGTCGACTTCTCTGAACCCATGCAATACTCAGGGCAAGGAACTGGTGGACAAGTGCTCCATATCTGCGCCTTGGTGATTATCAAGACGGAAGAAAATCCACAAGCCAGACATGAACAGGGCTCAGTGTCACTCATTTCTTCCTGGCAAAAGGGAAGGGCTACAATTCCACACTTCCTGTGCAGCTTGAGGACAGAGCTTTGATTCCTACACATAAAAGCCAGAAATGGTACAGTCCAGATGAGGGAGTGAGGAGACCTTGCCTGCCAGATGGAGACTCTGGCCCCATGAAAAGCTGACTAACAGAGCCAGGTACCAGTGGCTCACACTGAAACTCAGCTACTCAGGAAGCTGAGATCTGAGGATTGCAGTTGAAAGCCAGCTTGGGCTGGAAAGTTCACGAGACTCCTATCTCCAATTAACCAGCAAAAATGCCAGAAATGGAGCTGTGAGTCAAGTGGTAGGAGTGCTAGCCTTGACTTTAAAAAAAGAAAAAAGCTTAAGAGACAGTGCTCAAGTCCTAAATGCAAGTCCTAATACCAAACCAGGAGCAGAGTTACCCCACAGAAGGCCCAGCCTCAGTCTCTAAGGAGAGTAGAGAGGCAGTCTTGAGGTGTGCTGCCTGCATCTTACCCATAAGGCTTTGGCCTTCCTCCCACAATGACGGATGCTACTGGGTTAGACTCCTTGGAGAGACAGAGCTCGGTCCGCCCTCTCACACTTATGCTGAGCTCTAGGCCTTGCCCTCCTTTGTAGAGTACACATCTCCCACGTGTCCTGCAAGGCCCTGCTCAGGTGACGCTGCCTCTGGAAGGCATGCTTAGATCTTGCTAGGCTGGGATGGTTATCCCACTGCAGGCAGAGTTGGGCCTGGCTTGCTAGGGCCCCTTTGAAAGTAAAACTTAGCAGCTTTCAGGACCAGGCATTTTCTTGTAAAAACGATTTTGGAGGCAAAACCCCCAGGGCACACATAACTGTGACATATTTCTGTTCTACTCAGGCTCAGGAGAAATGGGGTTCAGGAAAGCCCCCACACACTGGCAGCTTTACTTCTTGTCAGTTCTAAGGGAAGCTGGTGTCTGAAAACTTTGGGGAATTCTAGATCTACCTGGTTTGTGGTTCTGCCTCCAAAGCCTCTGGAGAGAAGTGCTGGCAGGGAGTTCTAGGGGTAGGAGCTACATGCAAGGGACACCCCCTTATCTCCCCCACATACCAGTTGGTCATTAGCCCCCCTGTTTCTTCCTACTACCTGCTCCCTTTGATTTTCATGGCCCTATTGAGACTGGGTCACTGCTGCCCAAATTTGGGAGTGGGTGCAGCCACAGCTGTTTCTGTGACAATGTTTTGTGGCAGGCTTTGAGGCAGGCCAGCAACCTTGGTGCTTGCTGCTAGCACCCTGCCAGCCCCAGCTCCGGGATGGTGGCCCAACAAACCTCACTGCCACCCGTCCTGCCTGTTGGAGAATACAGGCTATTTTTGCTTAATCATAGCCTTGGAAAGGCACAAATCGTGATCAGCCCTTCTAATTACCCATGCACCACACTGCTTCTGAGACAAAAGCCAAGGTCAACACCCACGCACTCCATACCCCAAGCAAAGCATCAGCCCAGCTTGGCTGG